TGGTGGATCTGTAAAAAATATTAATATTTTTATGTAAAGGAAATTGAATCGTACTTAATGATAGATATCAGTATACCATTTTTAACAAAAGAAATTATTATCCAATCCTTTTTTTGTCTAGTTATTTATTTGCTAGCACTGAATGACCCATACGAGTCAATATTTTTGCAAATTTAACAGAGGTGTGGAGTAATAAGCTTGAGCATCCAGCAGGCTTGTGTGAGCATGATAGATCTGTATGAGTGCTGACAACGGTTTTTATGAATGTGCACTGTGAATATTAAAATGGTATACAATACTGACAGGTTGGTAAAACACATTTGCAACAGTTAAGTATCTTTATTCCGAAACGTTTTGCCTACACTTCAGGCTTCTTCATTCGAGTACAGAAAAGTTGACTGAAGAAGCCTACTGTGTAAGCGAAATGTTTCGGAATAAAGATGCTAAACTGTTGCACATGTGTCTTACTTACCATGACTGTGCACTGTTGGAGTGTGAGCAGGATAATATTTATGAAGAGCTCTCAGGAAACCCATTAGCTAGACTCTAGTTATGGAGGTGAGAAACACAGTGCCTATATTCTGTAGGAAGTGTGAAAATGTTGCAATTCAGAAGGTCACCTGAACTGTGATGTAGGCACAACTCTGGAAAGACAGCTGTTGAGTGAATGAAGGTAAATATGTTTAATTTTCAAGGTCATCTGCCTTGATGGAATATGGCCAGTGTGGCAAAAAGAAAAATTCCAGTGGCATGTCTACATTACCTTTTCTAACTGCCTGTGACATCCTGCATGTCAACACTAACTATAATTCAGAAATAAAAAAAATTTAGCTACATTCCCTGTATCATAATTAAAATTGTTAATTACCATTAAAATTATTTTTATGTTCATACCATTTTAATATCCTTCTACTTCTATGTACTTTGAAGTAATCCTTAGTTTTTTGCACATTTTCCAAGTGTAAGCCACTAACAACTGAATCTGCAACATAAAAACTGTTCAAGGGAGTACCTTGATCATGGTGAAGGGCTTCTGATCCAAGGAATTTAGTCTACCCTCCCATCCCCCTTTCTTCAGCCAACTCTGATTACCTCCCATTCCCCAGGCAGGGTTAGCACTTCATCATTAATATAACAATAATAATGTGGCACATAAACCAACATATAAAGTGTTGAATTCTTCAACAGAAGGTACAAGTGCACCTTAAAAAGATCTTTCCATGCAAAGCTGACATATAAAATGCGATTACAAAAGGTCACCCACGTTAGGAAGCTCGCAGAAGTAAAATGATATCTATTATACAATGATAGATTCAGAGAACCAACACAAAAATTATGGTATTTTTCACTAAATTTTGTGCAGAAGTAAAGGCACTGAAGCATTTCACCAGACTACAAAACTTGATACTCATAAAGGGTTCTTGACCCAATCAGTTGGAGCTATCCTCCTCCCCTTCTTAAATCAAGCCTGATTATTTCCTATCCTTCCTATTCTATAGGCACTTTATAACCCTTATTATATTTGTGAGAAAATCCTAAACCCATAATATGTGTATACCTTCTTGAAATCTCGGTGTTCCATACTGTCTCCAGCAGCAGAGATGAGTCTCAACAGTGAGGGATCACTTTGTAGGTGAAGGATGACAGGAGCTGAGGTCAGATCAATGGTGGTCCCAGGAGGATAACAGTACAAATCAGTGAAGGGTTGCAGATCACTGTAAGCCTGAAATTGGTGGGAGATGGCTAGTGTGTATTACAAACACAGCTACATCTATGATGTCAGCTTATTTTCTGCAAGATAATTTGTCCTAGCCAAATAATCTGATAATTGGTCATAATTGGTAATATGATAATGTACTCTTCTTCAATGCAAGTAATATTTCAAAATACTACCCCTCAAGGAAAGTCCCTTGATGCTGGTGAGGGGTCTTGATCTAGGGAATTGGATCTGTGCTCCAGTTCCCTGAATTAAACTCTGAATACCTTCCACATCCCCCTCACAGGCACTGTATAATCCTACAGGTTTAGTGCTCTCCCCTTTATTATAATAATTCAAAATACTAGCGACTTACAAGACTTGTGGCATTCTGAAGTTTAAATAAATACTCTATTGCCAGGAGCAATGGGCTAGTAACCCCTTCTCCTGTAGACATTAACCCCAGTGAGGGCTTTGATACCTAAAGTCCTTATGGAGGGGAATCTCCCTTCCAACAATAGTCAGTTCTCCCTTATCTCCTCCTCCTGTCTTAATAACCCAAAAGAGTTTCAATAAAAGGCATGTAATAGTGATTTAAATGTTCATTTATTTATTTTATTTAGCTTCATTGTTTGTGTATGTAAAACTATAATTAATCTTAAAAAATGTATTTTTTGATAAATATTTTTTGGGCTGTCTGGAACGGGAATTAATTGTATTTACATTAATTTTGTGGAAATGTTGCTTCTGAATTTAGGCCTTTATGAATTAGGCCAACTTTCTGAATGGATTCGGGCGATCATTCGAGGGGTCATTGTATATATATATTTTTTTCAACGAACTCGATGTATCCCACTGAGTGGAACATCGGTGTTCAAATGTACCATGCCTCAAATGCGAGCCAAAAGTTTTTCTGGGGGTCTGGAGTACGTTTGTTTAAAAATTCGATTGCAGCAAAAAACTTTAACGATGCTGTTCAAAAGTGCTTTGAAGTGGACTTATGACACCTGACCTAACTTTCAGGACCTTTTTGGAAAGTCAGTCTTAGTCATCGTCCAGTGTGTGATGCTGATAATTGAAGCTTGGGAAATCTGTTTGGACATCAAACTTTTTGCAGTTTGAATACCACTAAGAGAACACAGTTAAGTTCAAACGCTGAAAGTTCCACTGTCTAGAAAACACACAACACACACACACACACACAACACACACACCACACACACACACACACACACACCACACCACACACCACACACAACATCACACTCCCACACACAAACTGAAGCAAAATTGCCGTTTAAAGAGAATTGCATTTTTTCACTTTTAAATGCATATTATAAAAATCCTTGATAAACACATTTACCTGTATATACGGGACGCCCTGGCTTTACTGGCGATTTGCTAATATGAACATTTCATAATTACAACCAAAAATTCATTTATACGGCTCCTGATTTTGCTGTCTAGGTGTCTGCACGCCCTCTGTTTACATCATCATTGCGACTTCTGTGGTCTGTCAAATATGTCTGTAAACCTTCCAAAATTCAAATGTTTTAAAGTTAGTGTCTTGGTATTTTATAATATGTACTTTGATCATTGTATGTGTGTACTGTACCAAAAGTAAACTTACTGTGCTAGCCATGCAGATACACAATTAAACTCACTAAGAGGATTCACAGTGTTGAAAACACAACAATAATAATAATTATAATAATTACAGTGGACCTCGCCTAACACTATTAATCGTTCCTGAGAAACTCAGTGTTAGGCGATAATTATCGTTAGGCTCGAATTAATTTTTCCCCATCCCATTAAGAAATAATGGAAATCAAATTAATCCGTTCCTGACACCCCAAAGTATGAACAAAAAAAAATTTTGCCCATGAAATATTAATCTTTATTACCACAAACGGAGAAGACATGCACCGTTACTGACACTTACTTTATTGAAAGATCTGGTGATGATTGATGGGATGGGAGGAGGGGATGAGTGTTGAAGGTGTTATTTTTAGAAGGGGAATCCCCTTCATTAGGACTTGGTTGCTCGAGCTCCTTTCCGGGGTTTACTTCCCTCTTCTTTTAATGCCGACTAGGACCAGGCTTGAGGAGTCACTGGACCCTCTGTCGCACAAATATCTGTCCATAGAGGCCTGCACTCCGTTCCTGTATATGACCATTCCTAAAGTGTTTCACAACATGTCAGTGTTATAGTCACCAGCACGGCTTGCATTAGCTTGCTGCGAGGGTGATTGTTGGATTATGTATTGGTAGATAAAAAACTGTTGAGATAGGACTTCAGGATGTACATGTTTATAGAGGGGCACAGACCCTTATATCCAGATCACTTTCTGTTGTAGCACATGAGAGTAAAAGGTAGAGGGGGATAAAAGGTGTATAGAAACATCAGGGAGAGAGAGGTGAAGGTTTATAAACTAAAAGAGGAAGGCAGTTAGGGTAAGATATTAAACAGCTATTGGAGGATAGATGGGCTAAATGAGAGTATAGGCAATGGGGTCGAAGAGGTATGGAGGTAGGTTTAAAAATGTAGTGTTTTGAGTGTTCAGCAGAAGTTTGGGTTTACAGGAAAGTGGGGTGCGGGAGGGAAGAGGAGCGATTGTGAATGATGATGTGATAGAGAGTAGTAAGCGAGAATAAAGTTAGCATATGAGAAGTTTTTACAAAGTAGGAGTGATGAAAGGGAGGAAGAGTATATGGAGAAAAAGAGAGTGGTTGAGCAATGTAAAAAGGAGAGCAAAGAGTGAGTGTACGTGAGATGTTATCATACAAAATTGTGTTGAAAATAAGAAAAACGTTTTGGAGTGAGATTAACAAGTTAGGAAAGCCTAGAGAACAAATGGATTTGTCAGTTAAAATAGGAGAGGAGAGTTATTAATGGAGAGTTAGAGGTATTGGGAAGATGGAGGGAATATTTTGAGGAATTGTTAACTGTTGATGAAGATAGGGAAGCTTGTGATTTCGAGTTAGGGCAAGCAAGGAGGATAACATCTTGTAGGAGTGAGAAGTGCCAGTTGTGAGAGTGGGGAAGTTCGTGTAGGCAGTAGGTATAAAATGAATGGTGGGGTAAGGCAGCAAGGATTGTGGGATAAAGATAGAAATGTTTAAAAGCAGGTGGGGATACAGTTTGGAGTGGTTGGTGGCATTATTTAATAAATGTATGGAAGAGGGTAAGGTACCTAAGGATTGGCAGAGGAGCATGATGTTCTTTGTTATAAAGGCAAAAGGGGGTATAAAGAGAGTGCAAAAATTATAGGAGGGAGAAGTCTGTTGAGTATACCGGCAAAGTGTATGGTAGACATTATTATTGAAAGAAATAAGAGTAAGAGGGATATCATTTGGGCAGCTGGTACAAAGGAGCTTTTAGGAAAGGTTGGGGTGTGTGTGGACCAGCTGTTTACAGTTGTAACATATAGGAACAGTATTTAGATAAGGCTAAAGAGGTTTTTGTGGCATTTATGGATTGGGAATAAAGGTGTATGGACAGGGTGGATAGGGGTAGCAATGTGGCAGATGTTGCAGGTTGTATGGTGTATGGGAGGATAGGTATAATGAAAGCAGTGAAGCAGTTTTTACGAGGGATAGTGCGGCTAGTTAGAGTTATGTAGGAAAGAGGGAATAATTTTCCCAGTAAAAGTAGGCCTTAGACAAGGATGTGTGATGTCACGTGTTTTTTGGGGTTGTTTATATATATTTATAGATGGTGTTGCTAAGAGAAGTAAAATGCGAGGGTATTGGCATGATGTGCGTGGAAGTTAAAAGATAAAGAATCACACATAATGTGGGAGTTTGGTCACAGTTGCTCTTTGCTGATGACACTGTGCTCTTGGGAGATTCTGAAGAGAAGTTGCAGAGTATTGGGGATGAATTTGGTGGGTGTGTTGCAAAAGAAGGAAATTGGAAAGTGATTAAGGAAAGAGTAAGGTTATGAGGATAACAAATAGATTTAGGTGATGAAAGATTGGATATCAGATTGGAGGGAGAGAGTATGGAGGAGCGTGAATGTATTCAGATATTTGGGAGTGGACGTGTCAGCGGATGGGTCTATGAAAGATGAGGTGAATCATAGAATTAATGAGGGGGAAAAAGGCGTTTGAGTGGTGCAATTAGGAGTCTGTGGGTGTGGGAGACAAAGAACTTTGTCCTTGGAGGCAAAAAGGGGAATGTATGCGAGTATAGTTTTACCAACGCTCGTATATGGGTGTTGAAGCATGGGAGATGAATGGTTGCGCGAGGAGAAGGCTGGAGGCAGTGGAGATGTCATGTCTCTGAGGGGCAACTGTGTGGTGTGAATATAATGCAGAGGTTCGTAGATTGAGTTTAGGAGGAGGTTGGGATTACCAAAATGTTGTCATAGGGCTGAGGAAGGTTGTTGAGGTGGGGTTGGGACATATAGAGAGAATGGAGTGCGAGTGAAAACAGAGTGACTTCGAGCAGTGGTATTCAGTCTTAGTGGAAGGAAGGCGGGGTAGGTGGTCGGCCTAGGAAAGGTTGGAGCCGGAGGGGGCTCAAGGAGTTTTGTGTGTGAGGGCTTGGACCGTTCCTGCCAGGCCATGCTGACGTGAGCGTGTTTGATAGGAGTGAAATGGAACAATTGGTTTTTAATACTTGACGTGCTGTTGGAGTGTGAGCAAAGTAACATTTATGAAGGGGTTCAGGGAAACCGGCAGGCCGGACTTGAGTCCTGGAGATGGGAAGTACAGTGCCTGCACTCTGAAGGAGGGGTGTTAATGTTAAGTTAAAAACTTGTAGTGTAAAGCACCTGCTGGCAAGACAGTGATGGAGTGATGATGGTGAAAGTTTTTCTTTTTCAGGCCACCCTGCCATGGTGGGAATCGGCCAGTGTGATAATAAAAAAAATAATAAATCAAGTTAGGATCAGACAATATTATCAATTACTCACTTGCCAGGCAAAAGCAATCTGATTCCCTAATTCAGACTCGTTCGGCTGTAATTCATCTCTATGACCAGCCCAAATCCAATGGTTTGCCTGATTGACTTCGCCAATAAGCTACCTAAAAACAAAATAAACAATGATATAGGCTCCAAGAAAGAGCTCACTTTTTGCTTTCTGAGCATAATACTCTGCAAAGGTTTAATTACGTATTTGTTTTAAACCTTAAGTAAATATACTAGTTGGAGAAAATAAGCCAATTCCTCATTTTTTAATTACAAGTGTTACTCAAATATTAGTCTATTTTGCTATTGTCATTATTTTCCTTTTAATATGCTTTCAGATTTCTTGTTTTATCTTGTAGAACAGTATTAACAGGGAAATTTTTATATTTTGACATTTCAGTCATTGCAAATACAGTAGTATAGCTGTACAATTAACAAGGTGAATTCGTTTTAAAATGACTGCACAAACTCTTTTTAGCATCTCTTTAACCTTAAACTGTCCAAACAGATCTACATTCACATGCGTAGTGCTCCAAAAGTAGATCTACGTTTCTTTTACATACATACTTTCAAATATAACAAAAAAAAAGCAGATCAAATTTTTTTTACATGTTTTCAAATGTAAAAAAAAAAAGATCTACTTTTTTTACATACTTTCAAATGTTAAAAAAAACATAGATCTACGTTGGGGGACAGTTAAGTGTTAACAGTAGGGAAGAAACGTAAGGCGAGTTAAAAAAAAAAATAGTTCCTTGACAAATTGGGTACATCTATTACATTCAGTTTATATTAATTGATTGTGATTGTAACGAAAAAATCATTCCCACAATAAATACTGAACCCAATCTTTCAGAATTTCCCCATTCATCAAAATTTACTGTGGCTTATAGCAGCAGTAAATTTGCTTAGACTATGATAAGTAGGTCTAACCTTGTGTCATTGCTGCCTTTTTTATATATTTTGCTTTTGGACACTGCTGGCAAACAGCCAGCAGTGTCATTAACACCTCCACCAATGCAATGCTCTGTTATGTTATTATACAACAGCTCTCTCTAACAGTTCCAGGCTTAATACAAACTTGCTGTCTTCATTTGGCTGTATCATCTGTAACCACTTTCCCCCTTTTACTCTCTGCCAATGTCCTCTCCTCAGCAGTTTCACAACTTCCTCTCAATCATTCTCTTAGACCTCTTCCTTATGGCATTATATGGCCCTCATTACGGGGTCATATAATGCCACCCTAATCGAGCATCCCTCAACAACATCGTTAATGAAGAGCTCTTAAAAACATCAACCTGAATGACTACCAATAAATTCACACTTAACATTGACAAAACCTTCTACATTATGTTTGGGAGCAGAGCAAGTAATGCCCAACTAAATGTTATGATTAACGATACTCTTATTGCTTGAGATAATGAGGGGAAAATTTCTGGGTCTGTTCCTTGATAGCTCTTGAAATTCAACACCCATATCCAACACATCACAAAAAAAGTGTATCTTACATGTGCATCTTACACATACAGGATAATAAATTCTAAAATTAATCCTGACCTGAAGCACTTCCTTAATAGTTGCAACAGAACCAAAGTCATAATACGAGGCACAAAAATCTATGACACCCCATGTCTGGGTTAATCTTTGTAAAAACTCAACATGCATAAAAGGACCCAAAATCTGGAACTCCCTGCCAGATATCTCCAGACCCCCCCCCCTCTTCTCTCTCTTCTCTCTCTCTCTCTCTCTCTCTCTCTCTCTTCTCTCTCTCTTCACTCTCTCTATCTCACTCCTCTCTCTCTCTCCTCTCTCTCTCTCTCAATCTCTCTCTCTCTCTCACTCTCTCTCTCTCACTCTCTCTCACTCTCTCACTTCTATTTTCACTCCACTCTCTCTCTCACTCTCTCTCTCTCTCTTACATCTCTCTCACTCTCTCTCACTCTCTCTCTCTTCACTCTCTCTCACTCTCTTCTCTCTCTCACTCCTCTCTCTCTCACTCTCACTCTCTCTCTATCACTCTCTACTATCTCTCACGATCTCTCTCTCACTACTATACTCTCTCTCTCCTCACTCCTCTCTCTCTCTCTCACTCTCTCTCTCTCACCTCTCTCTCTATCCACTTATCTCTCTCTTCACATCCTCTCTCACTCTCTCTCTCCTCTCTCAACTCTCTACTCTCTCACTCTTCTCTCTCTCTCACTCTTCTCTCCTATCTCTCCTCTCTCACTCTCTCTCTCTCACTTATCTATCTCTCTCTCTCCTCACTCCTCTCTCTCTCTCTCTCTCACTCTCTCTATCTCTATCACTCTCGTCTTCACTCTCTCACTCTAACTCTCTCTCTCTCAACTCACCTCTCGCTCTCTCTCTCACATTTCTTTCAAACACTACCATTAAAAAAAACAACTTTCTCTGATATGTCCTAACACCAGCTAAATATGATAAATGTGCTTAATAGCTAAAGACAAATCTCCCAACCAGAAAAACATAGGTATTAAAAGTATATTTGTATTCGTATTTGCATTACCACAAGCATATGAAAAACTATATATTTTTATTCTCATTATCTGTAATCCTCGCCACTATTCAATATGATGAATGTGTTACAAAATGTGTTAATATACTATGGAATCCTCATTACTTGTGATCATAATCCAACCCGTAATCCTTACATTTAAATACATGTACAAGTAAATGTTAAATAATATGATAATATGTTTGTTTATCCTCCTTGTAATTCCCAAATTTATTGATTATGACCCCTTAGAGACTGCATAGATAAGCAAACAATTCGTTATTGCCCTTTTAGTCTTAAGCTAGGTGTAAGTTTGCCTGAAATGCTCTGCATAAAAATGAGCTTCCTGCAATGCATGCTAATATCCACCCATCTCTGTCCATACATTACTATCATGTTGATTTTTTTTTCAACACGTCAGCTATCTCCTACTGTCAGAGACACCCAAAAGAGAAAAACACTTTCACCATCATTCAACACCATTGCCATCATTCACACAAAATCAGTCTTGGCAGAGGCATCCAGATATGGCAGTTTAGATGTCACTCAAACAGCCAGTATCTGAAACCCTTCCTGAGAACTCTAGAACTGCAGACACATTCATCATCTTCAAAACTACCATTAGAAAACATCTTTTCTCCCTGATACACCCCGTCAATTAACTACACGAATACCACCTGGTGGTTCACACTTACACTCACTCACTCATTTGACCATAAACAGAAATATTAATCTCAATCTTAAAATAATGAATCCTGTGATACTCCAATACTGAAACTATGTACTGTGCCATAACAAAAGCATTCACAGTGCTCCTAAACTCACAATACTAGTAATTTAGTCACTTAGCCATAAATACCAATTTACCTCATAATTTGTATATTTTACATTTAAGAAATAAAACTAAGTCGGACGAATGCTAAGCCATGAAAAGCGTTCTAGTGGTACATCTGTATCCAATTTTATAATGTAAACCACACAGTAACCCAAATTTCTGTAACTCAGCATTGTAATCCTTATAGAGAATACTTTAAATTTGAATTTGAATTTGAATAAAGTGCAGGCACTGTACTTCCCACCTCCAGGATTCAAGTCCGGCTAACTGGTTTCCCTGAATCCCTTCACAAAATATTACCCTGCTCACTCCAACAGTTCATCAGGTCCCAAAAAACATTCGTCTCCATTTACTCCTATCTAACATGCAAACCTTCACCGTGAATATAATAATAATGTACATACATAATTTTAAACACACAAGGAAACCAACCAGCAGCCAAAAAGTTTTTCTTCTCCCATTCGAGCATGGTCATGGTGGCATCGGGAATTTGGTTACCTTGATCATCACGTACTCCAATAAATTCAGCCTCAGTGAAGTCCCTTACAGCAGTACTGATGAGCTCCATCACCTAAAGCCAAAATTACAATGTACATTATATTTCAGAGTCATAAAAGCTTATTGTGATATGAAATACGTAACAAATATTTCCATTTATTACAATATTCCTATATTTATTGATAGTGCTGTAGGACTCCCATTGGTTTAGTGCATTTTTGTTCAGTAAATACAGTAAGTACAGTAGTACATTTATCAACTATGACCCACATAGAACTAATGCATGGTTTCAAATACAGTTTTATAACACATACTGTTGAGGAGGGCCAAGCTTATACAGCAGGTTAGGTTCCAGGCTACTGCTGTAAAGCAAAAAAAAATCACTGAAAAGTGAAATAGCCATTTTCCACTTTCAAATGCATATAAAAGACTGATACACTATCATATACGTATTTAAGTGAGCAATATACATGTAGCTAGGCCTAAAAAGAACTTAAACAGTACACACATTTCTTACCTTAAAATATTTTTGTACTTAGCTTATAGTGAGTGGTTAATATATTTATCATAGGAAGTCTGAATAAATAAAGAATGGGTATAATTTTAAACCACTGTATTAGCGAAATGCTGTAAAGTGAAGAGCTGTAAAGCCGGGCCCATCTGTCAAATTAAAAGGACAGCTGTGGCACTAAGGTCCTTTCAACTACTAATTGCTATTTACTATGGTGTGGGTCTTCGTGCTTTTGTCGGAGTCTTGATCCAAGGAATTGGAACTACCCTTCCTTCCTCGGCAGTTCAAAGGGAGAACAACGATATTCAATTCAATTCAATTCAAAGTTTATTCTCTATAAGGATTACAATGCTGAGTTTACAGAAATTTGGTTATTGTTTGGTTTACATGTAGTAAAATTGTGATTACAGAGTGTACCACTAGAACGCTTAGCATGGCTAGGCATTTCGGGAAGGGGTGCTTGATCAAAGACATTGGAGCTACTCTTCTTTTCCTTGGAACAAACTAAAATATCTTTCATTGCACATGCACTGTATGATCCTTGTGGGTTTACTTCTTCCCCAAGAATATAATAAATAGTGTAACCACCATGGTTGTTTAATATATTTATAAATGGGGTTGTAAAAGAAGTAAATGCTAGGGTGTTTGGGAGAGGGGTGGAGATTAAATTATGGGGAACAATACAAACTGGGAGGTAAATTGACACAGTTTTCATTTGCTGATGATACTGTAGCTTATGGGAGTTCTAAGAAAAATTGCAAAGTGTTAGTGGACACGTTATGGGAGAGTGTGTAAAGGTAGAAAGTTGAAAGTGAACACAGAAAAGAGTAAGGTGATGAGGGTGTTCAAATGATTTGATCAAGAAACATTGGATTATTATATTGGAGAGGGAGGAATATGGATAAGGTTGAATCATAGAATTGAGGATGGAACGAAAAAGTGAGTGGTGCATTGATGTATATTGATGGAGACAATGAACGTTATCTATGGAAGCAAAGAAAGGAATGTATGGGGAAAGTATAGTGGTACACACTCTATATGGGTGTGAAGCTTGGGTTGTAATGCACAGCGAGGAGGCCGTTGGAGGCAGTGGAGATTGTCCTGTAATTAAGCGGCCAATGTGTGATGTAAATATTATTGCAGAAAATTCAGAGTGTGGGAAATTAGTGAGAAGGATGTGGAGTTAAGAAATATATTAGTCAGGGGTGAAGAGGGGTTGCTTGGCGGTGGTTCGGTTCATTTACAGGAATGGATCAAAGTAGATGACATGGAAAGCGAATAAATCTATAGGGGTAGGAAGGGCAGCGGTAGGGTCGTCCTCAAAAGGGTTGGAGAGAAGAGGTTATAAAGGAGGTTTTGTTGGCGCGAGTGGACTTAGACTTCCAGCAAGCTGTGCGTGAGCGTGTGAAGATAGAGTGAATGGAGGACGATTGGTTTTGGGACCTGACGAGTTGTTTGGAGTCGTGTGCTGGGTATTATTTAGTGAAGGGATTCAGGGGGAAAAATGGTTATTTTGATATAGCCGGACTTGGAGTCCTGGAATGGGAAGTACAATGCCTGCACTTTAAAGGAGGGGTTTGGGATATTGGCAGTTTGGAGGGATATGTTGTGTATCTTTATACGTATATGCTTCTAAACTGCTGTATTATGAGCACCTCTGCAAAAACAGTGATTATGTGTGAGGTAAAAGTGTTGAATGATGATGAAAGTATTTTCTTTTTTGGGGGGATTTTCTTTTTTTTGGGTCACCCTGCCTCGGTGGGAGATGGCCGACTTGTTAAAAAAAAAAAAACCACCTGTTAGTTGCAGAAATATTGTTCTTTATATTTTTTAAATTACACATCTTTGGGGTGGAGGTTAGGAAAGAAAACTGCACTTAACTCACCTTAACATTTCTAAGAGCAGCTAGGCCAGCAAAAGCACTGGTGAGGAAATAATCACCACACAGAATGGCAATCTTGTTACCATACTCCAAATCTTGCAGTAGTGTTCCATCAAATACTATTGGTGACAAGTTGACGACTCCTTTATGGATCAAGTGAGCTATGTGAATCATCTCCGAAATCTCTGCTAAACTTCTTTGCCTGAAACAGTAAAGTCAAAGCTAAAAAATGATGCTAGAACATAAAGATAAGGTAAGATTTGTTGGGATTTTTAACCTCGGCAGTGAGTTAGCCACTCTGGATAACCCAAGAAAGTCAGTGTATCATTGAGGGCTGTTTGTCTTATTTCCATTGTGGCCCTTCAATCTTGTCCCCCAGGATGCCACCCACACCAGTCGACTAACACCTAGGTACGTACCTACTTACTGTTAGGTTACACAGGGGACAGCAGGTGTAAGGAAACATGCCCAACATTTCCACCCGGCCAGGTATTGAACCACAGACACTCAGCTTGTGAGGCAAGTGCATTGCCATCCAAGCCATGGAAAGAATAAAATACCCACAAATTGTCTTACAAAGATAAAAGCCATTTCGACACTTTATTTAAGCCAACGTTTTACTTGTAGAACAGCAAACGGCTATAAGTACATTTGCTCAGCAGAAGCTTCATCAGTCCAACAGTGAGTGAAACATGTTCTAAATCAAAACTTTAAAAAAATCGCGCCCCTCAAGGAAGGTTCCTTGATGTTGGTGAGGGGCTCTTGAATTTAGGAATTGGATTGTGCTCCAGTCCCCGAAATAAGCCTGAATGAATTCCAAATCCCCCCGCAGGCGCTGTGTAATCCTCCGGGCTTTAGCTGCTTACCCATTGCATTATAATAATAATAATAATAATAATAAATAAAAGCGCTCATGTGCCTTTATACTTGTCAGTACTAGTTACATAAGTAAGTTTATTCAAGTATACACAAATTACAGTTACATAGATTATCATATAGCAAACATATGTGTAAAGAATCTAGGATAACCCAAAAAAGTCAGTGACAAATTCCATTGGCGTCCTTTGATATGATATTCAAATAATATGGACTACTAACCTGGAGAGACACCGCTTGGTTGAAGTTTTTTTTTTCTTTCAAGTTCTCGGATGAAACATGACCAGCCACTTTAGATATAGTAAAACAATGAGCTCCGTTGTCAGTACGTTGCTCCAGTCCATGTACATCACTTTTCCTATTCAACAGTGAGGAAAACTGAATTAATACTTTCCAAAATGATGTATGTACTCCACCTTCATGTGGCTGCAGCAGTCAATTCACAGCTCCTGACCCCGGATTAAATGTATATATAAATTATATATTATATATATATATATATGAGAGAGAGAGAGAGGAGAGATGATGAGAAGAGAGAGAGAGAGAGAGAGATGAAGAGAGATGAGAGAGAGAGCGAGACGAGAGAGAGAGACGAAGGAGAGAGAAGAGAGAGAGAGAGAGGAGAGAGAGAGAGAGGAGAGCGAGGAAAGATGCAGAGAGAAAAAGAATGAGAGAAAAAGAGAGAGGAAAAAGAGAAGAGGGACGAGAGAAAAGAGAGAGAAAAAGAGAGAGGAGTAGATAAGAGAGAAAAAGAGAGAGAAAAAGAGAGAGAGAGAGAGAGAGAGAGGGGGGGAGATGAGAGAGTGGAGAGAGAGAGAGTGAGGAGAGGAGAGGAGGAGAGAAAGAGAGTAGAAACGAGGAGTGAGAAAAGAGAGAGGAAAAAGAGAGAGAAAAAGAGAGAGAGAGAAAAAGGCTAGAGAGAGGCGGAAAAAGAGAGAGAGAGAGAGAGAGAGAGGAGGAGAGAGAGGGAGACGAGAGATGAGCCGAGAGAGCGATCGAGACTATAGAGATTAGAGAGCGATGAGAAGAGATGTATCTCTCTCTCTTATAGACTGACTATACTGGGAGATATCTATATGGATTTACCTTCCCAAAATTTGTTTGTTTTTAACACTGTGTGTGGGTTACTTTGTAAAAAGAACCCGGGGGGGAGAGAGAATGGGGTCAACTCTATTGCAAATTATGGTACCATAGCCTCGTGGAGAGGTAGATAAAATGGCTTCGAGGAAAATATTTATTATTTAAAGGTTCTGAAGATAAAAGTCCAAACTATGCTATTTGCTCTTAAGTGTTCTACACACTGTAGCAAATTAGTAGTTTTTAATATGTTTATTTGCAACCCATACCAATCCTGTGGGCGTATGGTACGCTCAAAAGGGATTATAGAGGTACATAATTGGTCAGGACTGGACTCCAAAGTTTAGATCGCTGAGCAAGTTACAGAGGTAATGAAATCAACAATTTACAAAGTAATGAACTCACATTTACAAGGTAATGAACTCACAATTTACAAAGGTATGAACTCACAATTTACAAAGGTAAATGAATCCAATTTACAAAGGTAATGAAATCACCAATTTACAAACGGTACTGAACTCCAGGTGGTTTGGTCACAATCATGGACAAGTTACAAGTATTTACAGATTACAGAGGTACGTAATGGGTTCAGGGACTGGGGCCCCCAAGTTTTTGATAGCTGATACTAAGGTACAATGGTAATGAGTCACAAGTACAAAGGTAATGAATTATGTAGGACTGGTTATTCACGTTTATACTGGTACAATACATGACAAATTATAGTGTACTGAGCAATTCAACTTCCACAACCGGTAACAAACTGTAATGAGTTATTGGTGCAAATATTGATTGTTGAGTCACATAGGCACACACACACACACAGAGCGCAGATTCAGGTGCCCTCGTCTATCCTCATAGGAAGTTTCTGATTACTGGGTCATCTTGTCTGACTTACTGAACTTAGACTGAATTGATGCATTGACTTGACTGACTTACTGACTTGACTGGACAAGAATGAAATGACTCTTGATGACTGAATGAATGACTTGAACTGACTGTATGAATGACTTAATGTAGACATTTTTCAAGATGGTTTAACCTTGAAAGGGTGTCTAGAGCAGCTGATGGTCTCTACTGTCAGTTGTATATTGTATGCAGGGTAAAAATAAAAACAGGAAATCATTACAGAATTTATGCCACTCCAGTACAACATCGACTTCAGTACCAAGAACCTATACCATCCACCTCTGCAAGTAGGGCTGGAGTGGGTGGTAGAGGTTCAGCACCCACAATTTAAGTAAGAAAAATTTTATTTCGGTTGCAATTAAAGTATTAGCAGTAAAACAAAATAATACATTCACGGACACATGAACTACTTTTATATATTACTTTTATTTTCTTAAGATCTGGGAGGTCTTAAAAAAAAGTTGTTTGAAGGGGGAAGATCGCCATCCATGAATTTTTGCTCGTATTCTGACAAAAAATTGACCGAGCAACTGCTGATATCATGAAAAACTCATATGGTGGGGCATTCGTAAGCGATGTTCCACTGTATGTATTTGAACACAAAACACAACCACCAAAAATACTAACTGCTGGATTTGTTGGTGATTGATAATTACAATGGAAAATCATTAAATGAGATAGTTGTGTGTGGGAGTTTATGATGTTTCTGTGGCGCAGCTGCTGGCTGGTGTTGGGTGAAATATTTCCTCATTAAATGTATGTAGAGTAAACATAATTGTCTTTGAGGTCCATCGTGGTATACATATACCTGTTATTCAAGCCAACATCGCGCTTTGTTTCTAATCGTTGGTACCATACCTGGTCCATCAGTTGTGCAGGTCGGACCTGTCCATGTGGCATGGTAGTATCACCTACACCACTATCAACTACACTACTTGCCATTACTAACCACCACTATCACTTATCACCACCATACTATCATCTGCAAGCATAGTTTAAAATAAATAAATTTCCTTACCATTGCTAACAAAAAACATAGAAACTCGCCAGAGCTATAGTAAAATAAACTTATACTAAACTTAATGTACAGTATTTGAAAAAGATAATAAACAAAATAAAAGTTGTTGTAAATTAAGGTCACTGTTCCACACACATCCTACCCTGGTCACTAGTTGCTTTCCCCAGTCTATTAAGAAATTCTTTACAATGGAAAGGGTTTTTATGCTCAGCCACTATTTTTAAAGTTAGGGTGCAAAACACTCAGGCAAGTTTACCAAGGGGTAATTATTTTAAATAAAATGTCAACAGTGATATTATAACAAAAATGTGATACTTAGAAATGTAATACATCCATGTGAGTGTGTGCATGTGTGCCCCTGTGCACATGTGTTATGTGTATAATCACAACATACTTACAGGCATACTAAGTGAATATTAATTAATGGATCTCCATGGAACAGATTTTTGGACAAAAAACTTTAGCTTGAGATAATGTGGAAAACATTGGACAAATGGAAAATAAATCTGATAATTCCAGATTTTGTCCATAGTGGTAATTGTCCCATTGTTGCTAAGCATTGGAACCAGTTTTTAGTGACTTGCATTTATTGGGTTGTACTAGAGCAGGCCACATCCAGGACTGTTTTCATTGTTCCCTGAACATAGGCCGTTGCAACAGTTTGCGTCTCACTCAAGCATACAGATTTCACTGTCTAGGAATTTTCTCTGGATTTACAGTGATTAGTGTGGACTATTAAGATACTTAATAACTGCAATTAACAATGGCCCTTTTAACGCAAGTGTTGGTGCCAAGTGGAAATGTGGTTCTTCAGTATTAAGCAGAAAATTTATTTTTGATAAGAAGGTGATTGTGGATCTCAGTGGCACATCCATCTTCAGCCATCTACATTATTTTCACTAGTAGAGCTTTACAGCTCTGCTGACTAAGAAGAGAAAGTTATTCGAGTTGGGCCAATTATGGATCATGCAGTTTAACCTCATCCCTCTATCACAAAAAGGTGATAACAAGTAAAATTTACTGTAAAAATTGCAAAACCGTACTATATTTAAATATGACTATACCGTACAGTTCTGTAGTTTGTATTACTTACAGATTACAGTACCATATATTAGTGTTCTAGTTGTCTTCAGAAGACGAGATGTTTATGAAAAAATTTGATAATACCGAGGATTCGGAGAGTTGGCAATGTCGTATATAAACCCTCACCTGTAATATTCTATACAGAGGAACCCCAAATATCGGCTGCTGCATTATGGCTTGTTTTTGGGGCCGAAATTTTGTTCGGATTTCGGCCTCTGCCTCAATAAATCGGTTTGCATTATGGCATCAGCCGCCTGCTTCGGAAACTGCTGCATAGGTTGAGTCAGTTGCCTGTGTCTATCGGTGAAAGAGAAAAGATTCACTCATTCATACTAAAAAATTTCTTTAAATCCATTTGGTTTTGTGTTGTTTATGATGTGCGATTTTGAATAAGCCCCATGGGCCCAAAGCAAGTTCAGAGTGATAGAATTTAAGAAGAAAGTTCATTGAACAATATGGAGTACGTGTGCGAGTGCTTAAAATGTGCCAGGGATGTGGATGGGAAATCCAAATCAACAATCACTTCTTCCGGCAAAGGAAAGAACAACTCAAGGGGAAGTGATGTGACGTGAGGGGTAAACTTTGTTAACGAAAAAAGAGATCACAAACAATGGAAGATGTGGAGCGAGGCAGGGAGGTGTAGCAGACAGGCAAGGAGTGTAGCAGGCAGGGAGACGACAGTAACCCCAGTGAGGGCTTTGATACCTAAAGTCCTTATGGAGGGGAATCTCCCTTCCAACAATAGTCAGTTCTCCCTTATCTCCTCCTCCTGTCTTAATAACCCAAAAGAGTTTCAATAAAAGGCATGTAATAGTGATTTAAATGTTCATTTATTTATTTTATTTAGCTTCATTGTTTGTGTATGTAAAACTATAATTAATCTTAAAAAATGTATTTTTTGATAAATATTTTTTGGGCTGTCTGGAACGGGAATTAATTGTATTTACATTAATTTTGTGGAAATGTTGCTTCTGAATTTAGGCCTTTATGAATTAGGCCAACTTTCTGAATGGATTCGGGCGATCATTCGAGGGGTCATTGTATATATATATTTTTTTCAACGAACTCGATGTATCCCACTGAGTGGAACATCGGTGTTCAAATGTACCATGCCTCAAATGCGAGCCAAAAGTTTTTCTGGGGGTCTGGAGTACGTTTGTTTAAAAATTCGATTGCAGCAAAAAACTTTAACGATGCTGTTCAAAAGTGCTTTGAAGTGGACTTATGACACCTGACCTAACTTTCAGGACCTTTTTGGAAAGTCAGTCTTAGTCATCGTCCAGTGTGTGATGCTGATAATTGAAGCTTGGGAAATCTGTTTGGACATCAAACTTTTTGCAGTTTGAATACCACTAAGAGAACACAGTTAAGTTCAAACGCTGAAAGTTCCACTGTCTAGAAAACACACAACACACACACACACACACAACACACACACCACACACACACACACACACACACCACACCACACACCACACACAACATCACACTCCCACACACAAACTGAAGCAAAATTGCCGTTTAAAGAGAATTGCATTTTTTCACTTTTAAATGCATATTATAAAAATCCTTGATAAACACATTTACCTGTATATACGGGACGCCCTGGCTTTACTGGCGATTTGCTAATATGAACATTTCATAATTACAACCAAAAATTCATTTATACGGCTCCTGATTTTGCTGTCTAGGTGTCTGCACGCCCTCTGTTTACATCATCATTGCGACTTCTGTGGTCTGTCAAATATGTCTGTAAACCTTCCAAAATTCAAATGTTTTAAAGTTAGTGTCTTGGTATTTTATAATATGTACTTTGATCATTGTATGTGTGTACTGTACCAAAAGTAAACTTACTGTGCTAGCCATGCAGATACACAATTAAACTCACTAAGAGGATTCACAGTGTTGAAAACACAACAATAATAATAATTATAATAATTACAGTGGACCTCGCCTAACACTATTAATCGTTCCTGAGAAACTCAGTGTTAGGCGATAATTATCGTTAGGCTCGAATTAATTTTTCCCCATCCCATTAAGAAATAATGGAAATCAAATTAATCCGTTCCTGACACCCCAAAGTATGAACAAAAAAAAAATTTTGCCACATGAAATATTAATTTTAATACACACAAACTGAAGAAGACATGCACAGTTACATGACACTTACCTTTATTGAAGATCTGGTGATGATTGATGGGATGGGAGGAGGGGAGAGTGTTGATGGTGTTAGTGTTTAGAAGGGGAATCCCCTTCCATTAGGACTTGGTGTCGAGTCCTTTTCCGGGGTTACTTCCCTTCTTCTTTTAATGCCACTAGGACCAGCTTGAGAGTCACTGGACCTCTGTCGCACAACATATCTGTCCATAGAGGCCTGCACCTCCCGTTCCTGTATGACATTCCTAAAGTGTTTTCACAACATTGTCAGTGTAATAGTCACCAGCACGGCTTGCAATAGCTGTGCGAGGGTGATTTTCATCAAAAAAGGCTTGCACATTAAGCCACATTGCACACATTTCCTTAATCTTTGAAGTAGGCAACTTCCTCAATTTCTCTATCCCCTCCTCCAAAGCAGTTTCCTCAGGTGTGGCCTCTTGCTGTTGAAGATGATCTAGCAGCTCATCAGTGGTTAGTTCTTCATTGTCCTCCTCCACCAACTCTTCCACATCCTCCCCCCTAACCTCCAACCCCAAGGACTTCCCCAATGCCACAATGGGTTCCTCAACTGGCATAGGATTCCCAGGGTTAGCCTCAAACCCTTCAAAATCCCTTTTGTCTACACATTTTGGCCACAGTTTCTTCCAAGCAGAGTTCAAGGTCCTCTTAGTCACTTCCTCCCAAGCCTTACCTATAATGTTTACATAATTGAGGGTGCTAAAGTGATCTCTCCAAAACTCTCTTAGAGTCAATTGAGTTTCTGAGGTCACTACAAAGCACCTTTCAAACATACCTTTTGTGTACAGTTTCTTGAAGTTGGAAATGACCTGCTGGTCCATGGGCTGCAGGAGAGGAGTGGTATTAGGAGGCAAAAACTTGACCTTAATGAAGCTCATTTCCGCAGAAAGTCGCTCTGCCATGTCTGAAGGATGACCAGGAGCATTGTCTAATACCAGGAGGCACTTAAGGTCTAATTTCTTTTCAATTAGGTAATTTTTCCCAGTGGGGGCAAATGCATGGTGTAACCAGTCAAAGAAAAAGTTCCTAGTGACCCATGCCTTACTGTTTGCCCTCCACAGCACACACAATTAGCCTTGAGGACATTGTTTTTCCTGAACACTCTGGGAGTTTGAGTGATACACCAATAAAGGCTTCACTTTGCAATCACCACTAGCATTGGCACACATCAACAGAGTAAGCCTGTCTTTCATAGGCTTGTGTCCTGGGAGTGCCTTTTCCTCCTGAGTAATGTACGTCCTGTTTGGCATTTTCTTCCAAAACAGGCCTGTTTCGTCACAATTAAACACTTGTTCAGATTTCAGTCCTTCACTGTCTATGTACCCCTTGAATTCCTGTACATATTTTTCAGCCGCTTTGTGGTCCGAACTGGCAGCCTCGCCATGCCTTATCACACTATATATGCCACTACGCTTCTTAAATCTCTCAAACCAACCTTTGCTGGCCTTAAATTCACTCACATCATCACTAGTTGCAGGCATTTTTCTAATTAAATCGTCATGCAACTTCCTAGCCTTTTCACATATGATCGCTTAAGAGATGCTATCTCCTGCTATATGTTTTTCGTTTATCCACACCAATAACAGTCTCTCAACATTTATCACTTGCGATCTCTGTTTCGAAAACAAAGTTGCACCTTTGGCAAGAACAGCTTCCTTGATTGCAT